GTTAAGGCATGATGTTATGATGTGTATGCTATGCGTTTTAAGCAAAAGTGTGAAGTGGTGTAAGTAAACCCTGCAATAAATCCAAGTTATTGGATAAGGACTATAAACAAAACCTGCAAGGAACTCATGTTGTCAGATAACAAGAATGTGCAACTAGTTCAAGTTTGAAGGCACACAAGTCACAAAAACAGCCTTAAGTTTAGGCTGGCATGGAGTTTCATAGGTAAGTACCCTCTTGAGTGTAGTTGGCTCAAAAACCTGTCCTATAAATAGTAACTGGGTTCTAAGGAGCTCAATATCATTGGATTGTTTTCTATGTTTATCGTTTTGGTTTAGCCAATGAACTAGCGACCAAAATATTCCAAGAAAACAATCCTCAATGAGTGTAGTATCGAGTATCTACCAACTTCGGACTGCACCAAAGTCGATCATCTCACTACCCCTAAAAAAGGCCAAGATGGTCAAGTAAGGTTCTAAGGTCAATTGATGCTTCACGACACCACGCGGCGGCCCCGTACTCTCCTTGACTTAACTCAAGGGTTACCGGTACTCACCAAAGTGCCACATCAACTTAGCTACTGTTTCAACCATGTCGGTATACCCCGCATAGTTCCCTCACAGTTTGTTGCTACTTACCTAAAGGGTATCCCCAGATCCAGGTTAGGATCTATAGAACTCCGATACAAACCCATAAAATTTAAAGCATACAAAGCATACAATTGAAAACACAAGTGATCTAATCCTAAGGTACACCTCACTTATAAATATCCCCAGCAGAGTCGCCAGTTCTGTGGTCGGTGGGAACGAGAACTGACTGTTTTTGGAATGCTGGTTCGCGTTTGCGTTTGTTTTCGCAAAGTGTCGCGGTAAGCAAGAGTCGCCACCGTCTTTTATTTTATCCAACAAGGGAAAGGACAAAAGCACAGAAAAATTCCTTTTCGAGATGTTTCTCGGGTTCGGGATTATAGAAAGGGAAGGTGTTAGCACCCTTTCTATCCGTGGTTATCCACGGGCTCTTAGGTACTTGCTCACTATGTTTTCAAAAGGTTTGCTTTTCTTTGTGTTTGTGGGTTTTGAAAAGAGTTTTGTTTTTGAAGAAAGTGTAAGTGCGAAAAATTTTTGTTTTGTTTTTAAAAGGAGCAAGTACTTAAGAACCTCTACCTACTCAAAAAGGAATTTAATTGTGCAAATATCCTTTAGACAGTGCTATCCCACTATTGAGGAGTAGGTAGCACCGTCGTTGGAGTTTTCGGGTCAATTCGATTTTAGGGACGTGTGGTCACTAAAGCAACGTTAGGACGCTTTAGTGGTAATGCTAATGTCTTAGGTCATTTTTATCGAGGCGACCATTTCGAGGCAACTTATGATCTTGGGACAAAGGACGACCTCTAAAACATCCTATACTTAATGACCACATTCGAGGCAACCAAGTGAGGTGTACCCTAAGAGTGGCATGTGCATGTGTCAATTTTCAGTTTATATCATCTTTGTACATGTTATGGTGAGCTACTGTTGATTTTAAGTTAAGACAGATCTTGTAATACAATCCTAGTTAGCATACATCTAAACAGTTAATATATGTACAGGAATTTAAAGTGCAGAAATTGTAAATCCTACGCTATTACAAGGCTTCGGGGAGGGGGATTATTTACATATCCAAAAATTGGGGGAATAAAAAAGCAGTAAAGTAAAAGTCTTAGTTAAGCTATTACAAACCAGTAGGCAATTACAATAAAATAAACGCGCGCAAATCTGAAAATAAACTCTAAAAAAAATTCTAAGAATAAAATTTTTTTGTTGTTTTATTTTATTTTGGGTAAATGATCTAAATCTATTTAATTTTAGTTTTTTGAGAAAATGTTAAGATAATTAAGAGATTAATTAACAAAGTTAATTTTAATAGAAAAAACTAGCCTAATGTTTTTTGTGGTTTTTTTATTTATTTTAATGTTAATTAAAAAAGACAAAAAGATGTCAATGAAAACAAAAATAAAATACAAGGGGGGATCCTTCGATCCAGGGAAAAAGGAGTTTCGACCCAGGGAGGGAAATGGTCCTTTCGAATGGGCCAGAAAGTAAGGCGTGAGTAGCCTTCGATCCAGGGAAGAGGATTGTCTTTCGATCATGGAGGTCATGGATTTCGATCCAGGAATGAGATGCCTCCTTCGATCTAGCATGCTAATGGGTTCGATCCAGAGAAGGACTCTCCTTCGATCTGGGATGTTATACCTGCAAAAGCATGTTAGCGAAATAAAATGCAGGGCCTGGGTATTGAATCCCAGGCCCTTCGATCCTGCGCTTGCTGGGTCTCTTCAGGCTATGTCTGCAGCAAGTGTTGACAAATGAAGAACATGACCTGGGCGCCAAACCCAGGCCTTTCGATCCTGTCTAGGATGGCAAATCAAAGGCAACAACCAGTAATAATGTGTTATGCAAATATGAGGTTGGATAGTTTACCCTTTCTTACCAGCAGATTGGACTTTTAATTTGGGCGCTTCCTGGATGTAGGCACCTTCGATCTGGGCACTTCCTGGATGCAGGCACTTTTGATCTGAGGGCTTCTGGGCGTGGGCACCTTTGATCTGAAGGACTGCTTTGGCTCTTTGAGGCAATTTTTCTGTGTGTTCTCCTGCAGAGTTTTGTGTGTTTCGTTGTATATTTTCGCGAAATTTTCGTGTGTGGATATGATTTTCGTGTGTTGTAATGTGCCACTGGCCCTTGTATTTATAAGGGTGTGAAGGTGCAGTAATGGCAAGAGACAGCATTTAACCAGGCCATTAAATGCCATGAGACAAGAAACGGACACATTAAATAATTTCCCCTTTTGAAACGTTTGTGTCCCTTGAATGTACCTGGACATTTTTGAATTGAGTGCCCTCTTGATGACCTCCTTCGAATGGCCCTTGTCCAAATATCAATCGAAGGATTCCAATCGAAAGGCTCTGTTAACAGGCCAATCGAAAGGTGTTGTTTCATGCTAATCGAAGTACATGGCTAACATGCCTGTCGAAGATGCCTTGACACAATACTAAATCGAAGGATCCCTTGGCATGCCAATCGAAGGCCTGGCCCAAGGTGCCAATCGAAAGGCTCATTCAGAATCTCAATCGAAGGGTCTTTCAGAATGCCAATCGAAGTGCTTGTCCATAATGCCAATCGAAGTACTCCTTCAGAATGCCAATCGAAATGCTCCTTCAGAATGTCAATCGAAGTGTCTTTCAGAATGCCAATCGAAGTGCTCCTTCAGAATGCCAATCGAAATGCTCATCAGAATGTCAATCGAAGGGTCTTTCAGAATGCCAATCGAAGTGCTCCTTCACAATGCCAATCGAAATGCTCCTTCAGAATGCCAATCGAAGGGTCTTTCAGAATGCCAATCGAAGTGCTCCTTCAGAATGCCAATCGAAATGTACTTAAAGCACCACTCAAAAATTTTCCTTTTCCTTAGGCAAGAGTTTGTGATCAACCATGCAGGGGGGAGACTTTGGAGAACATGAGAGGGCAAATTTTGGGGTACAACACTGTCGTATTTATTATATTGTTGTGCATCATAAATTCATGACATATTTTAGGACTTTGGTCTAGTGATGTTAGGACTTCGGTCCAGTGATGATGATAGGATGATAGTCTAGTGAAGGCATCAATCCCATCATATGGATTGAGGTCAAAATTGTGAAGTACTCTGGTTCCAAGTGGGAATCGATCCTATTGGCGGGGATCTTTGGATAAAATGATGACTGAGTCATCAGTGAAGTTTTGGTACCACGTGCATGAGTCTATGATGTTACATTACATTATAAGTGATATTACATAAAGATGTGATTAAATTATGCTTGTTGATAAATTGTGTTTGATGATATGTTGTTATGTATTGATGATGATGTTGTGAAGGTGTGAGTATAACATAAGGTCCTGATGATGTGTGATGTCTTACCTAAGTGCATGTCTACTATATTTATTCCTTATGTCTTTTATAATGATTATGATTTACTCACCTTTTCTGCTTAGAAATGTTGTCTCTATCAGTGGGTAACTTGCAGGTGATCAAGAATAGTCCATTGAAGCTTAGAGAATAGCGTCAGAGTGTGTTTATTGCTTTTCATTGAATAAAGGGAGTCTTGCTCTGATATGTAACATCGGGGTTGGGATCGTCATGACTTTTGTCAAGTTTCGGATTATGATGTTATAAACATGAAGTGTGATGATTTTATTAACATTTAAACTATCTTTCATGGTATTGAGATTATTTTATGAAGGAGTTTAAGACTCATTAATTCCGCTGTGAAGTTCAAAATGAATTAGTTGTGATACTAGAGATTATATTTAAGTGTTTTCTTTGCAACCCGTGTTACAGAGCAGGATTATTTGTGAAATGATGTTTATATGAAGATGTGACATCCTTGTTGTTGTTATACGTTTATTTATTAAAAATATTCGTAAAAATCGTGGGATTTTAGAAGGGTATTACATAGCTCATGCAGAGATTCTAGAGGAGGAGTAGGCTAGTGCCGATCATGCCATTGATGTAGAGATTGTGCATGTAGGTATTGATGGAGGTTTGTTTCCTAATGGCTCTGATGTTAGAGGTGTTTTAGATGCCATTATGGCGGAGGCTCGGGAGGCTCTGTTGTACAGGAGGCAGCAGAGAAATGTCAGAAGGATCACGTGCGGACACATAGTCTGTCATACTCAGTAGTCTTCGTTGTTGTTTTATATATATTTTGGTTAGAGTACTATTTTATTTATCGATTTTTGAATTTGTATTTGGATAATATTTGGATAATATTTTATTCACATATGAACAATTGAGAACTAGATACTGGATAATATTTGGATAATATTTGGATAATATTTTAACTCTATGTTGGGATTCCATATTTGGTACTAGATACTGACTGGCAGTTATATACACAAATAATAATGAGCAGAGTTCAACTGACACTGCATGGTTCAGAAACACCAAATAATGTATAGGAATATATAATATCATGCATTCGTCTTCACAGAACCGTGAACAGATCGTCCATCGGTATGTCTAGGCCCACCGCATTATCATCATCTTCTAAGGCATCTACATCAATGTTTAACCAAGAATCCAGGTCTTTATCTGCACCAAATTCTATGGAGTCTAGTTCAGGCATGTTTGTTAAATCCAAGGGATCCTCAGTTTCAACGGCCAAATTGTTAGTACTATAATCTTGAGATACAGAGCCAACATTATTGTTACCACCGGAAACCAGTTGATCAGAGCCACATGCCAAATAAGGCTTAGAGTCGGTATTTTCCACCAGCTTGCCAAGAGATCCCTTTGCAGAAGTAGAGAGTTGATCTGTCTTCGGCTTGGCCTTCACTTTAATTTTACGCTCACTCCTTGTGTTACTTGCAGAAGAACGACCGCCTCTTTTAACATGATTTCTCATAGAAGTGTCCTTGTTCGTTCCTCTTTTACTCCTCTTTCTCGTTGTTCCACCCAAGAACGAATTAGCAAGAGTTGCACTAGCACCAACGTCCTCGAGTAGCACTTCTCCCTTCTTCCCTCCCAAAGAAGCACTACCAAGTAGCACTTCTCCTTTCTTCCCTTCCGACGAAGCACTAGCATCAACACCAACGTCAAGTAGCACTTCTCCTCTCTTCCCTCCCAAAGAAGCACTAGCATCAACATCATCAAGTAGCACTTCTCCTTTCTTCCCTCCCAAAGAAGCATTAGCACCAACGTCAAGTAACACTTCTCCTCTCTTACCTCCCAAAGAAGCACTAGCCCCAACACCTTCAAGTAGCACTTCTCCTTTCTTCCCTCCCAAAGAAGCACTAGCATCAACATCATCAAATAGCACTTCTCCTTTCTTCCCTCCCAAAGAAGCATTAGCACCAATATCGTCAAGTAGCACTTCAGCTTTCTTCCCTCCCAAAGAAGCACTAGCACCAACATCATCAAGTAGCACTTTTTCTTTTTCCCCTCCCAAAGAAGCACTAGCACCAACATCATCAAGTAGCACTTTTTCTTTTTCCCCTCCCAAAGAAGCACTAGCACCAACATCATCAAGTAGCACTTTTCCTTTCTTCTCTCCCATATAAGCGCTAGCACCAACATCATCAGGTAGCACATTACCTTTCTTCCCTCCGTTCAGTATTGGTCCAGTCCAGGTAAAATCCAGATTGGATGGATGGTTTGAATTTCCCATGACATTTTGCTCCCTGGAAGGCAATGAATCTGCAAGAGCCAAAGCGGGAAGAGATATAAATAAAGATGAACCAAAATTCAAATGCTTTAGGAAGAGATATAAATATGATTTTTTTTTCTTGATGAACATGACATCTCACTCATGTTATTTGACTATCAAAGAAATTCATCAAAACAAATAATACATGATAAAAACAGAAAACCTGATGGTGCAAAATCTTGCCGAGAGTTTTGAGCAAGTGGTCGGATATCATCAAAAGTTGAAAAAGTATCGTTGTCAAGAGCAGGAGTTGCAAATAGTACATCTTTAAACATGGGATCCAGAAAGGAACTTTTCCTGGTTTCCTCAAATGTCCGGCATCTAGCAAGAGTCCTCTTCTTGAAAACCAAAGGGACTGGCCTTGAGGCCTTAGAAATTCCATACTTTGCTGCAATAGTTCCCCGAGTGGCCTATAATACCATAAAGGGTCATTTTTCAAATGCAAATCAGTTTATGTAAATAATAAAACCAAGAATAGCTTAAAACACAGTTTACTTCAGATAAGAATTAAAACCTGCTGACAGCTTCCCTTCTGCAATTGAGTAATTACTTGATCAATAACCTCACAACTTCCATCAGCAAGCTCAGGCTTTTACAAGATAATTATAAGGAGAACAGTTAGTAACAGAAGCATTGATAGAAAAATTGAACCCAATACATCATATTCAATACTCAGTAATTAAATCATACAGAAAAACTCGGAAGCATATAAACTACAGACTTTTCACATATCTACAAATTAGAAGTTTACCACTGGTTCTGGATATATGCCGACACTCTGTAGCTCCGTTAAGAGTTTATCCTCCATAAACATTTTGTCACATGTAAATGTAGCATTCCCATTACAGGAAACTGTGTCAGTGTAGAATCCAACAGAAGGGTCATCTCTTTCATGCAGAAAAGATATGTTTTCATCTCCAAAAGTTTCTTCAGTTTGATCGTCCATGATCAAAGCTGTCAATACTCTTTGGTACAACGGTGGTAGTTTGTATTCTAAATCCATTTGACTGGACAGAAAGGTGCCGTCGTGAGGTTGATCAACCATGTCAACCATTGAAGGTAGCTCTTTTGAATCAGACTGATTTAAAATGTTTCTCCCTCTTTCTCCTTCGAGCGGATATTGCGAAAAAAGGTTGTCCGTAAGCACAACCCCATTCTGAGAATTTGGATGAAAGAAATGTGTTAGAAAAAAACTGAATATTACTCTGGAAGCTACAATCTTATAGCAATTTGGGAGTTCTTCCCTAGTTTTATATTCTAGTGACTATTCATATTAAATCAGCTTTGTTGATGCACACACTAGCCTTTACTTATACAAAAGGTTGAAGCACTCGCGTCTTAATCACAATCTATTGTTTGGATGTCTGTATAAAACAGACAAATATGATAAGGTGTACTACCTTAGTCTATTATTTAATGAGTTGGTAGATATGATAAATTAATTAGTCCTACCTCTGATGATAACATGTTCCTCTTGTTCAAATTCTATTATGAGATAAAGGTTGTGTTAGAAACGCTTCAATTAAGAGTAACTTAAATTTTACAAACACAATTTGTCAGAACACACACCTGCTGCTTCAAGTGGTCTGTGACTTCCAAGTTGACAGGAGCAAAGTTAGGTTCCATTTTCTTCTGGAATGAATTAAAACAGCCAGTATCTGCCAAGGACCAACATGTTTATAAAGTTTCTGCATATATATAAACACATACACACACACACAACTCAAGAGTAGCAGGGTTTAGTAACATACAGCTGGCATTGCTGGCAAAGTTGGCCGCAAATAACTCACAGTCATCACCTGATCTACCTGCCATTTTGGATGGTTTGTATAACATTATTGTTTGAATAAGAGAAAACATCTGACATCATCTTCTTACTATAGAGTATCTTATTAAATAAGTATAATATTGTAAACAATTCTATTTTTTTAATGCAACGAGTAGTTACTCAAATGGATAGACATACCCGCAATATCCGGTAAAGCAGTAGTTGATGGATGCCCAACATGAGCAATAGCTTTACTACTATTTTGTGACTTCTTCTTACGAGGTCGCCTTGATCTACTGAAAAAACATAAACTTAGTCTAGTGGAAGAAATCCCTTTTTAGCCATTATCAGGAGGGAAAAGAGAGCAATGGGGGGAGGGAGAGGAACTATACCTTGCATTCTTAAGAGAAGAAGGCTTCATATTTCCAGTTGTAGTCGGAGTCATTATAGTACCGCTAGAAGGGGAATAGTCTTCAAATGGCATAGGCATTTCATCACAATTATAGACCGGCGGGGAAGCACCATTTGCTCTTCGAGTGCGAGAAATTTTTTGAGGCCTCTGTCCAACCCATTGGGATAAATGGGATATAGAAGATTCAACAGGAATAGGACGCTTATGATTGATTGCCCCAATCAATGAATGGCGCTGGTTCACATTTGAAGGTTGCTCCCAGGCGTCGAGTGTTTCCGGAGATGAGTTTCCAACTATTAAGTTACCAGTTTGAGGTGCCCTTGAAGCTTTGCCTTTTGTATGTGGATAAATACCACCGGTATAATTTTTGCCATGATCATCAAAATCAAATCTAAAAAAAAAAAGAGAGAATAAGAATACTCATTAAATTATAATAATATTTAATAAAAGAAATAAAGCTTGTTATGCACTTCATAAATACAACCGGGCAGATATGTGCTTGTTTCTTTTTAGTACACCTCATTCCCTATTTGCTCCATCTATTGAATCCCTAAACACCTTTTATTGCTCATACTTTGCATATACATGTGAAGTTGAACTAGCCGGCAGGGAAGCTATTCCTAATACTGGCGGTTATAGCCAAATGAATCTTTTGCGATCATAATAGCCTCACTTAGCATCACCTCTCACTAGAAAATCATAAATGTTTGGAAGCTATAGAATTGTTACTATAATCACAAGGTAGGTAAGCAGTTGAACACTGAGCTTTCAAGAGACTTATCCTTAAGAGAACGGGCTTGAAAGATGAGAATTGTCATACCCCTCTTATAAAAACATGTTTAGGTCATATTCATTTCAAGTGGGACTATTAACTAATATCATTTCAGATATAGCCCTATAATTAAAAAGGACAAATCTTATGTGCGTGTCTTTGTGTTATGTGCCGTTTTAACTTGAAATAAATAATTTATAATCTCTTCAAATACCTTTAATTTCTACAAATACATAATTTTCTCAAAAATTGTTATAACACAAAGTATATTTTAAGTTAAGAACAACACGAAAAGCACCTTAGAGAAATTCACATAAATTTTGTCCAAAAAGATGCATCACGAATACTCAGTCCAGTAGTTTAAATGATAGATCGATTGGTAACAACCAACAATCTTTTCACCACATGACTTCTTAACATTATCCAATAAAGTTATTTTTAATGAAGGAGCCTAAAGATGCACAAACACAACGTTCCTAAATTAATTACGATAAATTGATTTTTTTTACGCACTAACATATTTCCCAAATTGCAATTCATTTTTACGGCTTTCAGTCCGCTTCTCAAACCTTATGAGTTATGGCCATTTATTGACAAAATCAGAAATTAAAGCATCTCATAAACTTGTGTTTACCTCAAACCTATGGCATCACAAGACTGCAGACCAGACTCATTAGCTTGCTTTAGATACTTAACTCTTTTCGGCTCTCCTTCCCCATCAGTGGATCCAGCTAAGACGGTGCCCATGGAATGTTTTCTTTTCATTTGTCTATCCCATGTTTCTTCACTTTCAGGTAACTTTTGAATCTTCTCTTGAACACCATCACAAACCTTGCCAACATCCTTAATGTGGTCTCTATCCTTTCCAATTGCCAAAGGCTGTCTCCCAAAACTATTGTTTTGCCCTTCCGCCTAGTATTTATCACCAAAAGATACAAAGTAAATATAGATTAGATATTTAAAAAAATAAAGTATTATTAACGTCAAAAAAATACGTTGCTACTCAGAAAACAAAGGAACGTAGCATGTTCAGTAAGCGCTTTGGGGTTCAATGAGTTACATAGGTAATCAAAAAATAATCTTCAGAGAAGCGCATGTAACAGAAATCGAATATAGTTGCACCAGATTTGAGAAAGGATGTGTCATCATGCTCTCCGGGCTCTCCCTCATCCAAGTTATATCAAAGCACTAAAATAATTTTCTCTATTGTTCAATACTATTGGAATTCTATCCTCCTTGTTACAATTATAAAAAAATAAAAATAAAAAAATAAAAAAACTAGCATTAACATGGCATAAACCCACAGCTTTAATAAAGGAAATGCAACAGTAATTTCAAAGTGCTAGCTAGCTACTAACCTGTATCTCAGCAGCTGATGCACCAACGTGCGTGTTCGGAATGATTTCCTTAGGCCTGTCCCCTGGGTTTTGATTTGCAATCTTTTCATTTGGCAGCCCCTCGTTCTGAAATTGCTTCTTTGAGTTTATGGCCTCCCAACATGTGTTCAATTTGTGTACAGATTCATCCAAAATCTTTGATCCGTTACTGAGAAAAAATAAAAGAGCATAACTTTTATATCAGAATCATTGCACAAGTGACAAACTGACAATAAATGCGAAAATTCTAGACAACTCAGGCGTCGCCTTTATTACAAAAACTGAAAAAAGTGGACTAAAAAATGGTAGTCATTCAACTACATTACATATGCTGAAAATGAAAGCTCTCCATTACGCGCTAATTAATTAGGGTTACATTAAATAAGAAGTGTGGTTAAACTTAAAGCGGTATGATTTGATGACAGAATTAATGGTATTGCATAAAGCTCCTCAAATTACCTAGCCTTGGAAGAAGCCTCCTTTAGGCTTGCTTTGAATCGTTTCAATTCCTCCAGATCCACTAGAACGCGAGACTTTGGACCTCCTTTAGATATTCTGATGATCCGTTTTAAGTCATTTAATCTAGTATGCTTTGGACCTCCTGTAGTTATTGGATCCAACTTTAAATACTGGGCAGGTGGATCTGAATCTGGTGAAGACGTAGAACTTCCCTGCAAGATATTAGTATCCGATACAAACATCTGCATGTAAGTAAAACGCATATCAACAATAATGCTATTCAACTGAAACAACATGCAACTAAAACGTTTCGGAATCCAAACTTATCATAATCAACAACGAAACGAGTATAGAAAAATCGCAACGTTAGAATCAAATTCAAAGAAAATAAGAGAAAAACTAGGGTTCGAGAAAAATGAATAACAATCCGCTAACAGTTGGCGGAAAACGCGCGGATAGATAAACGAAGAATGAACGCGTGGAAGGAAGAAAGGAATACCTGCATTGACCAGAGAAGAAGATGGAATTCGCAGAGAGAGGAGGAAGACGAAGGTGAAGGCAATGTGGAGTTGAATGAGAGGGAAAAAGTGTGGTTTTCAGTAGAAAAACGAGAGTTTATATACTACAACGGCGCGGACATAGAGAAAACGGGTTTACGTTATGTGGGCCCCCGCTATCCGATCTGAGAGAGAAGTGGTAGTTGGTTGACTCGTTACTCTCTGAGTCAAGGGCTTGATCCGTTCATTATTATAAATTAATGTAATGGTTGATAATGTTATGATGGATGTTTTATTTTATTTATATATGGTGAACTTTTTATTAGATGTTTAGTAGAACTCTTAGTGTATTTAGGGAGGATTTAACATGATACCCTCACTTATATCTATCTGACATTCTTTTGAAGGGTATAAAAATATCATAGTAGTTCAACTAAAATATTTTTAAAAAATTTTAAATTTTCAGTACTAGTACTATATGCATTTTCTAAATTTATTGGACGTTATTGGAGATTTAGAAGAAATATTTAAAATTTCGTAAAATAGTAAAAAAAAAATTGATATATTTGTATAATTTCTGGTATATGTTAATTGAAAATTTTGAAATTAATGGGTTTTGTGTTACCTTTTGTACCAAAATTTTTGAAATTTTTGGAGCTTTACAACATTATCGGAAATTTCAAAATTTACGATTGTTCATATTTTCCTAATTTTCTCCCTCCTTTTTATTATTGTTTCAGTGAGGGCTAGGGGAAAAGATGGTTATGTTGCGGACAGGGTGACCGATAAAGCGAAATCTCAGGCCCGGATTGACGAGGCACAGGCTTCCGAGCTACGGGCTGGAAGACGTCTTTCGACCGGTTAACACCGCAAACAGATGGCTGAGCAGCAGGCGCAGTTTCGCACACTCCATCGCCAGGGTATTAGAGGATTTACTGCTAAAGAGGTACATGATCCAGCTCGTGCTGTTGTGGATGTTCCTGAGATTGAGCAGGTTGTTATGGAGCCGACTGTTGAGTAGATTGTTTAGGAGGTTGTGTTTGTTGTGGATTCGATTACTGAGCAGCGTGTGGAGTTGGTTGCCGAGCAAGTTGTGAAGCTGATTGCCGAGCAGGTTATGGAGCCAACAATTGAGCAGTTTGTGGGGCAGGTTCGGCAGGTTGTTGTTAAGCACGTGGAGGCCCATAGGTACCAGACTGTCGTAAGGGGGTACATGCTACATCTGGTGGCATGTACTCTCTTTACGGACAAGTCTGAAGTTTACATTGATGTTCACTATCTGTCTCTATTCAGCACCCTTGACACTCCATTTTGGGCTTAAGAAGTGGCGGCCTTGACCATGTTGTACACGACACTTAGAGTTGCTACTCAGCTTGAGACCAAACAGCTGGTTGATTACCTTATCCTTCTACAAGTATACCAGCATTTATCTGTTGGTTTTTATTAGTTATTTGAGTGTACTAAATTGTTTTTATTTATGTAGTGTTGGATATACGAGCACTTCCCCCACATATGTGAGTGGAAGATCCAATGTGTCTCGGCTACTACTCCATGTGCAAGGAGATGGAAGGGAAAGCAAGCCCTCCTAAGCGGTTTGATGGAGTACATGGGGAGGATCGAGGCAGTGACTGTATAGGATGTCGTCTGGACACCATATACATCTCACTGACCTCGTCGTGCATTTGACGATGCTTTTATCTATTCAGGATATATTAGGTGGGAGAAACATGTGGCTAGACACTTGTTTGAGAGGTATCTACGATAATATGGTTATATCCAGAGCATCCCTCGTCCAATTCTCGAGGTTCCAGTTGGTGGCATTAATAGATGGTTTCAGAGTCACATCATCAGCTTTATCCGTGAGACTAAGGATATATCAGTTGTGGTTCAATATCCTTCATAATGCGAGGATGGATACCTGGAGTGGTATCGTGGTGTATCATGCCCATGAATTATACCACCAGCTGCAGCATCTGATGTTCTGCGTCCTTCACGTGATATGGTTTCTTCCGAGCCACTACCACCACCTCCACCTACAGGTGATCAGGACACCCACCTACAGTTTATCGCAGTTCATTTAGATAACCTCATGGGTTTGGTAAATCCCGTTGTTGGGATTTATACAAGTTTGGCTGAGTTTGCTGACGTAACCCGTGGGGTGCATATGTAGATCTGTTTTATTTTAGTTGTATTATATGTATATTTTGTGACACACAGACTTCTTAGATATTGCATAATATTTTGGCGAATACATGTTTCAAATCGATAATGAACATAACATGAAACAATACAACAAACATAAACTAAAAATAAATAAACATGAAAACATGTGCACTACCAGTTGATTCTAGGCGTTTCAACATCTTGATTATGTCGTCGATGGATCTTCGTATCTCTATGTCCAACTCGATCGGACCTTTCTTTATCCTATGGCAAAATGTTTTCTGTAACACCCCGATTTTTATTAAATTATTTTAATAATCAATTATGTGATGTGGTGCATTTGCACGCCTTGGTGAATATATTGTTGTGTGGTTATGCCTTTGATGGGAGATATGTACCTTAGAAATTATAGAAGTTAAGGTATTAAGGGGGGGTGTATGACTAAAAGTGTAGAAACATAAGGGTAAAAAGAGAGGGTTATTTTATTAGTATTATTTAAATCATAATATTAGAATTAATATTATAGTTTATATAATTAAATAATTATTTTAGTAGTAAGAGGAAGGAATGGCATAATGGGAATAATGATATTAAGGGTCCAAGGGTTAGATAAGTCAAAACAAAGGAAAAAAGTGTTTTTAGTTTATCGATCATAGAAATGAGAGAATAGAGAAAGAGCACTTTTGGGAAAAGAGACTAGGGCAAGAGAGAAGTCATTGTTGAAGCTTGAGGAACCTTCGAATTAAGGTAAGGGTGGGGTTCCAACTTTCTAAAGGGGTGATATAATGATGGGTATGTGGGGTTTGGATTTCCATGGTTAAATATGTATGTTATTGTTCATACTTATGTTCTTCTTGGTTTTTGAATGATTTAATGTCTTGTGATTGGATTAGTGAAATTGATGCTTTGTTATGGTGATATAACTGATGTGTCGGTGTTGAAATTGTTGAGATGTGTTTGATGCGTCAGTGTTGAGATTGATGTGATATAATTGAGTAATTGCATGTTTAAATGTGTTTACTTTATGAATGAGAACGTTGATAATGATATATATATATATATATATATATATATATATATATATATATATATATATATATATATATATATATATATATATATATATATATATATATATATATATATATATATATATATATATATATATATATATATATATATATATATATATATATATATATATATATATATATATATATAAAATTATAATTTAGAACATGAACGATGAAGTATGTGGAGGTTAGGGATGTTTGGGTATGAAATAAGTGATTTTCGTAACGTAAAAATATGTTTTTTTTACTCTTGTACAATGGGAACCGGTTACCAGTATATGTGTTGTACCCTAAAATTTTCCCTCTTAATATCTCAAAGATTCTCTCACAAGATCTCCATTGATTCAAGACTGCACCAAGATTGATCATCTCAAGATACCTCTCCAAACATTGATGACTCAAAATTAGGGTTTGAGTTTGTATAAGTACAATTGGACCTTTAATGCTTAATATGATTTTCATAGATTATTTTGGACTCCCAAGATTGCTCATGTCAAGTTTGAGGCTTTGGATCACATTTTTGCTCAGTCAATTGATTAATTGACCTAAAATCAACTATATTGGGGAAAAAGTCAATTGTGGTCAATTTACAGTCAAAACTCATAATTTTTTATCCATATCGACATATTAAACTCATATGAACCATTTGGTCAAGTTTGGATCACAACTTCTCAAGAAATTTGATCAGATCATCAAAAGGGCAAAATGGTCAAAATTAGGATTTTGACTGAGAAGGTTCAATTTTTGACTTTTTGACCTAACATATGACTTGTTGGTTTGAGACATGATATCAAGAATTCATATGCATCATTTTAACCTAATGGCATGGTTCAAAACATTTCTCAAGATCAATTGATTGATAATAGAAATTTGGTCAACTGATGAAAAAGTCAATTGTACACTGAAAAGTCAAACTTTGACTTTTGGATCAAAATCAAGTTTCAAAAATCATATTTCATCAAGATATGTCAAATTATAAAGATTGTTCATCAAGAAATCAAAAGTCAAGATTACTTTGAAAAAAGTCAAAGTTCTAAACACTTAGAAATTTTTCTAAGTGTTAAGCAAAATATGATAATTTCATAACTTTGTGCCAGATTTTCACCATGATGCAAGATGATTCAAGAAAAACTTCCAATATGGAATTTGTAGATCTCAATGAAATCAGAAACATTGTAGGGCAGAACTTCTTCTAGAAATACTTGGATCTCAAGTTATAAATCTATGAAGACATGTCCATGAAACTAAAACACTTAGTAAAATTCTGGGCATTTTAAGCCAAAATTTTGACAGAACTTTTGGGCCAAGTTTCACACAGTTACAATGGGAGTTTGCAAAAGTGATTCAAAGAGGGATTGCAGAGCATGTTACAAGATTTCTAAAAAGTCCAAGAACTCTTTCAGATCATGCTGGAGCAGGGGGAATCGAGATCAGAAGTTGGACATTCATTCTTAAATTATTAGTCATTTTCATAATGAACATCTGATCTAATTCCAAGCAATACTGCATAATCCCACTTTTCAGGCCCTCTAACATGTGTATATATCCTTAATCAAAAGATTA